ACTAATCAACAATTAGTCACAATTTAGACATATTTCCCTTTAATCAATCAATTAATCAATTAATCATAGTTTACTAATTATTAATATCACGCCAATTTTTTAACTCTCTCTAAACTAAATTTCAAAAAATAAAGAAAAAAAATTTATACAACATACTTGTATTTTGGCCAAACTTATAATTAACAAATCTTCAGAGGGAAATTAATGAATTTGGAGGAACTTATGCACCTAAAAAAATAGCAACAAAATCAATTAACAAATTGAAAAAGATAAAAACCAAACTAATATAAATGAAAATTATGATTTAAAAAAAAAAAAAGAGTAAACATGTTTAAAAATATTAAAAACTTTAGATTAAGTAACAAATTAAAAGAAAAAATAAATAGATAAAATTTAACTAACTTTAAGTGAAATTAGGAAGTTGCATTCTAAACCCACGCCAGAAATAGTGTAAAAATTGGGTATTGCAGTTAACAGAGGAGTATTACCTAAAATTTTACCAAAAAATAAGTCATAAAAAAGGAAAAATCAAAGAAAAAAAGGAAGGATGCAAAAAATCATACCTTTATCGGATCAAAACCCTCAAAAACTACATTACATAAATCAAATTAAGAAGCAGCAGTTCATTGTATTGATTTCAACCTTGGGAAGTCGACAGGAGATGATATGAGCAAGTAGAGTTAAAACGCGAAAATGCAATAAGGGAGAATGAGTTTCTGAGATACAAATTGTAGATATTACACGCAAATCAGAAAGAAGCAACGTCCAAAAGAAAAAGGGGTTTTACAGCTTGTTTTGGTCAATCCCACTGACCGAAACAAGATGGAAAATCTGCACTTAGATTTTGCATGCTTGTTTCGGTCAGTGGGATTGACCGAAACAAGCTGCAAAATCTAAAAATTTTCAAATTTCCCATGCGTTGCAAGGCACTTAGATTTTGCATGCTTTTTTCGGTCAGTATGCTTGACTGAAACAAGCTGCAAAAAATCTACAAAATTACAGATTTCCCATGTGTAACAGGGCTACAAAATTAGCATGCTTGTTTCGGTCAAGCACACTGACCGAAACAAGCTAGAAATCTGCAAAACTGCAGATTTCACATGCATGCAAGGTTGGCAAATTTTAGCAGGCTTGTTTCAGTCATGCCTACTGACCGAAATACGCATGCAAAAATCTGCAATTTTGCAGATCCCACGTGGCAAAATTCCCTTACTTGTTTCGGTCAACTGGATTGACCGAAATAAGCATGGCAAATTTTATTTTATTTTATTTTATTTTTTTTATTATTATTATTTTTTTTTACTTCTGATTTTGATGACGGGAGTTTACAGATTACTAAGAATTTTTTCGGTCAATTAACATGCAAAACAAGGCAAGAAACAAGCATGTAGTTTGATGCAGAGGCAGAAGAATTTTAGTTCTATCAAATTAGTTGACCGAAATATGAATATTAGAAGTTATTTATTAATGTTTAACCGGAAGAGGTTATTAGAGCCATTTATTCGGTCATTGTGCTTGACCGAATAAATTACTCCATTAATTTTGGTCAAAATGCTTGACCGAATTATGTTAGAAGACAATGAATTCGGTTAATTGTCTTGACCAAAATAAATAGAGACCAAATTATATAGTTTTTTCCATTTGTTTCGGTCAAAATTGATTTTCGGTCATTAAATTTGACCGAATTAATGTTTTTTTTTTTTTTTTTTATCAAAAATTTACTTGACCGAAATACTATGACCAAAATGATCAACTTTTTAGTAGTGTTCCTCTCCCTTCTCCGTTCCTACTAAGAATGGAAAAGGTTAAACATTTAAGGGATCGGTGGACAATCTCTGAGCACGCAACTATGCCAGAAATATATTAATATAAACGAGTTTGTAGTTTGGTGAAATGTAAATTGTAAATAGTAGTGCTAGGGGCACTTGCCTCTTGCACTCTCCGGCCAACACTTCCCCTTTCATTGGGCCACGTAAACCTGTTTTAGCTTTGAAGTGCAACCTCTTACATACCAGATTAATGTGGCCCAGTGTTGTTCGAAGAGTGCAGAAGGCGAGTGCCCCTAGCACTCCTCAATTGTAAATAACTTTTTATTATAAACTTGGCACTTAAATATAACATTGTTTTTTTTTTTTTTCTTAAAAAATCCCTTCTTTCCCTCTCTCTCTCACTAACCAATATAAGATAGATTGATGCTGTTTGTCAAAAATGATTTAATTTTTAAGAATTTTAAATTTTTATATTGAAAATTTTAATTTTAAATTATAAGATGAATAAAAAGAGATTTAGAACGGTAAAAGTTATTTTATATTACATGAATCATCTTTAATATTTTTTTAAAAGAAGTTGTTGGTCAATCCAATTATCTTAGCTGAAATATTAACAGTATCCATATAAGAAGTAGAAAAAATTTATAGATATATATATATAAATTAAAGAAGTGGAAAGAACTTTTAAGAAACAACTCATGATTAACTGGGGTGTCCTCTCGTGTCCCAAATTAGAAGAAATATATGTTATCCAAACCTGCAAAATAGAGTTGCCAGTTTGATTTTCAAGACCAAAGTATATGTATATGTATATGTAAACCAGACTCTCAACATTATAATTAATAGCGCCATGTTTTGGTCGGTTGCATATTTGCATCTATAAAGGCCCAACATATATAATTAAAATGGAGAGTTATATATGAACGCCACCATGACATTCTATAAATAT